TACAAATGTTTTGCGCTCTCCAGAGCTTCTTAACAAAGCAGAAAGTATTTATCATCCTATTCGCAGTATCTTTAAGGGAGGTCTTGTTGCAAGTAGAGGTACTACTATAATAAAGTATTTTGAAATCTAAAAGTTAAAAGATATTTTTTTCTATAGTTGATGAATGGTCGAAGAATCGCAAGCTAATAAATCCTGCCTTTGCAAATAAAGTGCTTATGAGTTTTTTTCCAATATTTAATAAAGCTAAGAATAATATAATTGAAAAGTGTAGCGAACTGGTAGACAACAAGGAACATAATTTACTGAATGCTATACAAACAATGACTTTAACAATAACTGCAGGTATAAAACTGTTGAACTATTGACATTAGAAAACGATGATTAAATAAACCATTTGACTTCAGAAACAACTATGGGCAAGTACATGCACAAAGGTAACCAGATTTCGAATGATATAGCCAATAACATGTGTGTGTAAGTTATTTAACTAGACGTATATTGTATTTTTATGGAAATAAATTAATAATAAATAAATAAATAATAAATAAATAAATAATTAATCTCATATGTACAGCATAATGGAATATACTGTAATTAGTATATTACTTTCGTTTATGAACCTCGGTTTCATAATGGAGTTGTTTTCGAAATTTAGAAATGCTAAAAAATATTCATACCAGTTCGTCGAAGATGTTAGTATTTATTATAATTCCTACACAGAAAAGATAAAAATTGCTTAAAATGTTACAGTTGATTCACAAAAAACTTTCTAAAACTACTTATGCAGAAAAAAGTATTACAAATACTAAAGATGACATGTCCAGTAATGAGAATTTCTTGCTTACAAACGAAGAAAATGAATTCACTAATAATGAAGATGATCTTGCAGACCTTTCTATAAAAAAGGAGCCAAACATTTTTATTGATCAAGCAATAAAACTATACAAACAACAACTATTCACATGGAATGATATAATAAGTGAATCAAATACAATTGTTGGTGCAGTGAGTACACGTGAAGTATTTATATTTAATATATTTACAATTCTTCATTGATTGTAGGCATTTGAGACTACAGCTAATGCCATTTATTCTGCTCTTGTTATGTTGGCCATGCACCCGGAAATCCAACAGCGACTTTTTGAGGAAGTTTTAGACGTATTTCCTGAGAAAAACTTTAATGCTGGGCTTGATCAGTTAGATCAGTTACAATATTTGGATTGTGTAATAAATGAAACACTTCGTTTTGCTCCGCCTGTTCCAGTTATAGGCCGTCATGTTACAAAAGATACACAAGTTGGCAAAAATGTATTTCCCAAAAATACACAAATTCTAATCTCAATACTACATCTTCATCGACGAACAGATATTTGGGGTTCAAATGCAAATAAGTTTGATCCAGAACATTTTTCAGCTGAAAACTTCGGAGAAGCTCAGAAATGTGCATTTATTCCATTCTCAAGAGGTAAAAGGAATTGCATAGGTAAGCCCCTACATAACTAATTTAAATGTACATGTAGATTAGTTCATTATGTGTTGGTTACAGGATTACGATATGCCATGTTCTCAATGAAAATCATATTAAGTGGACTTATTCGGAACTTCATATTTGAAACTGATTTTAAATTCGCGAATCTCAGATTTACGAATCACGTAGCATTAAAATATTTAGAGGAACCCGAATTGAAAATCTGTTTGAGGTCATAAGTATTATACGCATGTGAGCTGAGTAAAAGCCATAAAGTCTATTTGTGATTAATAAAATTTGAATTAAATTGAATAAAGTAAAATTATGAAGAAAATAAAATTCTAAATAAAATTAAATTTTATGTAATACGTGGGCACCGAAATCCATTTTTCATATATCGATTTTAGAATAGTGTTCTACTTAATTTTCGAAATGGACGCAGAAAAATTTCAACTGTTTCAAATCTTAGTATGTACCAGATGTTAAAATCTTAAACGTTAAAGTAGATAATAATTAGAGTTTCCATAGTTTAATTTGTTTTTCAATATTAAGAGTTTCCAGGAAATGGTCTTTCCACAGTTAATTTGTTCATCATTCGATGTGATCAGCTCCTCGCTCTCGTTCTCAATTGGTGATGTCTTGAATGTGTTTGATCCGCTTATTTCTCTTATTATTTTGTGCATCTCTTTTAGATCGTTTTTACTGGCAGCTGTTTGTGTAGAGTCTCCGAGTTGGCTGTAGTTGTTTCGTTTGTCGGTTTTCCTTTTCCTAGCCTTTTTCACGAATTATTTATTAAATCCATTTTTTAACGACGGTAATGGATTGCTTCAATATTGTATATACTTTAGAAATTAAAAATTATTAATTTTCAATTAATAATTAGTTATCGTGGTGCCATGATCAAAACTTTTCTTAATGTCGGAAAACGTTTAAAAAAAGAGTGCAAATTTAATAGAGAGCAACGAATTCAGTGTAGGCGAGTAAAATTGCTTGACTATTTGCATTGCTTAACTAATAGCTAATATATTCATTTAGCACGATATAAATAATAAAATTAATGTCGTTTACATTTAAGGTTACAATAGAGCGTGCTTATTCGTCACTCAAATTGATCTTAACTGATCAACGGAATCGTCTTAATCATGAAACTTTGGAAAACATTCTCATGGTTAAACTAAATCCACTATTTTTGGACCAACAGACTGATGATATGCCGTTGTTTGAATTTGGTGAATGTGTTTTAACCAAAGACTTGTAAAACAATAGATCCATTAACAAATAAAATTTTAAATTAATAATAATTTTTAATTTCTAAAGTATATATATCCATAAATAAAGACATAAATTATTTATTTACATAAGTTCCAGTATAATTGATTTAATGATTGAATTGAAAACGCAAATCATAGAATTAATTAATAACTACTTATTGGGATTTAACAATATTAATATTTTTTATAAATTTTTAATTGCATTATACTATTATTTAGTAATTTTTTAATTTATTTAGTTTTTAATAATGTTTTTAAAGTACTATAAAATTGTACTTTTCCTATTATTTTTCATTAAAAAACTAATAGTACATTTTACTCATTAATATAATTCATACTTTACATGTTATATAAAAACAAAAATTTAAATTATAATTGTAATAATTATAGAGATTTTTTTTTTAATTTGTTATGATAACGAACAGAACTGTTGTTAGTAACTGCACATAACAAAACAGATATACATATTTTGCTATGTGCCGATTGTACGCAATCAAATGAGGTATATCTACATACTCGTACATTCCGCAGTTACTTGCAGTCATTATATTAACTATTGCTTCGACTATTGATTCTACTATTGCTACGACTACTGCTTGGACTATTGCTTCAACTGCCAGCACAGTTGCTCTGATTGTTGTAGTTAATAGTCGAATATCTTAAATCGACTATTGCTGTCGGCTTCAATTATGATATTGAGCAGAGTCTAAGCTACTTCTTTTTGCTTCTTCAGTAATTTTATATTTGATATGATATAAAATCAAGCACTATACATAATTAATCGACGACACTCATCTTAATGAACAGCCTTTGAGCTACAACTGATATGAAATATAATAAAGGCTAGTATTAAATCCAACATTTGAAACATTACTTCTGTATAAAACAGAAAGTCACTTGGAACAAATATATTTCATATGATTATCGTGTTCTGGTTAAAAAAATTAACTCACAATTCTTTATTTAGAAAATAGTATGGCAAAGACTTAAAACTGATTGTACTCTTTCAATACTAACAACATATTACACCGGTGAAAATCCAGAGAATTAGTACTACTAATTGTAATAAAAAAAATGTCTTGATGAACCTTTTTAAGGATTTGCTGGACGATAGACAGCCTTTCCCAATAGAGTTGTCTTTTTTTTTCATGCTGTTCATAAGAATGGATAGAGTTCCTTTACCTGGATTACAAGAAAGTTCACTATTAAATCACAGTTTAGCACTAATAAAATTATTCTGTTATTGTTTTAAAATGGTAGTATAATAATAAATAAAATGCTTTCCTTCCTCTCAATCAACGCTAACCACATTTTTATGATATATTAAATCACTCTTTTCGCTACATTCAGATTGGAAGTATATACGGTAATAATGCTCTAGATTATAGAATGACATGGAACTTAGTTGGGATTGTTCTGTCGAAACTATTGTATACCGTATTTATAAGATCTCGAGACCTACTGGTGTGTCACTGGTTTATCCTGATAAAAACTTAAGCTTATGGGCGCACCATTTTTAAATTTTTTCACCTATGTTGATTAAATATTGGATTTAGTTTGAATAAATTTCAACAAGAAATTAAAACTTGACAATACTAACATACCTACGCCTACGAATTTAAGATTTTGTGTTAAAATACGATACACTGAACAAATCTAAATGTAATTTTATTAAAAAAGTTATTCCTTTCGACTTCCATTATGATTATGCTGAGGTCTTAATAATGTACATTAGGAACGTATATTAAACTTTTTTGTGCTTATTTTTTGTTTAGTAGTTTGCAATAAAATTTAATCTATATGTGCGTAATATAACTCAGTATATTAACTAATTATTTTATTTTCCTTCACAATCACCTCGTATTTTATAATGATTATGTATAAAATTACTATCATAGATTAATTTTTTAATTAATTAATTATAATAATAACAAATAATTATATAGTACTTATGATGCCGTTAAATGTCATCCCTTGTTTTTTAAACGAAAAAACTCATTAAATCAGTATTTTTCGAATATAATATAAGTAACAGAGTATGATGTGGATTATTATTCTATTTTCACTCGAGGGAATAGATGCCTGTTTAGCTATCACTAAATATGGAATCACTGGACAATTATAAAGTTCTTAATTCCGTTTTTCTGGCCGGTTTTATCATATTGTGGATTCATTGGATATGGACGCGAAGAAACATATATAAATACGGTTTAAGTTTCCCGGTATTATATGGTTTTCCTGTAATTGGTTCCTTATACGGAATGCGGAGCTTGAACAGTGAGTAAAAAATATTAATAGAAAACTAAATTGATTTAATGAATGAATCTTCTCTTTTTTGAAGATTTAACATCAAGACTTAATTATATTTTTAAATATTGTAAACGTTATACTGTTTGCTTGTGGTTTGGATGGTTTCCAATCATACTGACTGCAGATGCGGATATTATTACAAATGTTTTGGGGTCTCCAGAGCTTCTTAACAAAGCAGAAAGTATTTATCATTCTATTCGATGTTCCTTTAAAGGCGGTCTTGTTGCTAGTAGAGGTACTACTATTGTAAAGTATTTTAAAATGTTAAAAGTTATTTTTTTCCAAAGTTGATAAATGGTCGAAGAATCGCAAACTGATAAATCCTGCCTTTGCAAATAAAGTGCTTATGAGTTTCTTTCCAATATTTAATAAAGCTAAGAATAATATAATTGAAAAGTGTAGCGAACTCGTAGACAATAAGGAACATAATTTACTGAATGCTATACAAACAATGACTTTAACATTAACTGCAGGTATAAAACTGTTGAACTATTGACATTAGAAAACGATGATTAAATAAACCATTTGACTTCAGAAACAACTATGGGCAAGTACATGCACAAAGGTAACCAGATTTCGAATGATGTGGCCCAACATTATTGTGTGTAAGTCATTTAAGTAATTAAATAGTATATATATATAGAAATAAATTCATTTCATATGTGCAGCATACTGGAATATACAATAATTCATATGATACTTTCGTTTATGAAACTCGGTTTTATAATGGAGTTGTTTTCGAAATTTAGAAACGCTAAAAAATATACATACCAGTTCGTCGAAGATGTTAGTATTTATTCTAATTCCTACACAGAAAAGATAAAAATTGCTTAAAATGTTACAGTTGATTCACAAAAAACTTTCTAAAACTGCTACTGCAGAAAAGAGTATTACAAATACTAAAGATGACATGTCCAGTAATGAGGATTTCTTGCTTACAAACGAAGAAAATGAATTCACTAATAATGAAGATGATCTTGCAGACCTTTCTATAAAAAAGGAGCCAAAAATATTTATTGATCAAGCAATAAAACTATACAAACAGCAATTATTCACATGGAATGATATAATAAGTGAATCAAATATAATTGTTGCAGCAGTGAGTACACATAAAGTATTTATATTTAATATATTTACAATTCTTCATTGATTACAGGCATTTGAGACTACAGCTAGTGCCATTTATTCTGTTCTTGTTATGTTGGCCATGCACCCGGAAATCCAACAGCGACTTTTTGAAGAAGTCTTAGACGTATTTCCTGAGAAAAACTTTAATGCTGAGC